TTAAAGATTAGGATTTAAAATACTTTATTATTCATAATATTCATGTTAGTAACATTAATGATAGCAACAGTATCAACACCTCTAACTATGACATGGTACACGTGTAGCAACAGTGGACTTTGACTACTCAGTTTGCTACTTCTGCAGGGTTCAGGTTGAGAGGATGATTTAAAGATTTTGCAGGCACAGATAACAAACAGGAAATCTGGGACACGCAGACAGACTTGGTGTTTTTCTCAGAAACCGAAAAGATCATCTGTGTACATAAACAGAGCAGGTGAAAAGGTTTGTGACCCTCGTTCTCAGGGTTGCCAGATTGGGCAGAATTTTTCAATCATGTACAAACGTCCAAATAAATGCATTATGTAAAGAAAAAAAAAGCTTTACTGATATAACTGTATATTATATACAATTATATCAATATATAATATATTGTATATTATATAATATTACATGTATTCATATAGAAATTCTATTATTATTATTATTATTGTTATTAATGGTCATTAAATCAAATAATAAAATAATACAGTGGATTAATAGCACCACGAATTATAACCATCATATCTTTTATGTAATTCTTTTCAAACGCACATTACATTTTATATACAATCTACAAAATGAAAAAACTTTACAACAAAAGATATTAGAACTAATAGGTGAAGCAAATATATTTGCATATAAAATAATAAAGTGGGATAATAAATAAGCACATTTATTTAATTATTAATAATTCTATTATTATTATTAATTATTTGATTATTTTCTGGCCATCATTAAGTTCGATATGTAATTGACGAAACGTTATGTGTGTAATGAAAAATACAATTACGTTTTTAGGTTTATATATTTTCTGTCAAAATTGTAAAAGAAAAAAAAAAGAAAAAAAAAAAACCTGGCAACTCCGAAGTCACTTCCTAAATCAGCTGATAAGGTCACGTGACACAACTGTCATGGCGGCGGCGTTCGCGGGGCGGTGGAGGTAGTTAGGCTGTGTATGCGCCGACGTTTGCCCACTTGAGGACAAAAACAAACCGTAAGTGCTGTTTTTCACAGGATTGTGTGATAATGAGTAAAACTCTGAGATGATAAACATCCTCCAAGGCCGTTACTTCTCACCTGGAGCTATTCAAATCCTGATTTATTAGCTGTTCTACAAGTAAAACTTTGGATGTCGTGTTACAGACAGTTGTATAATGTTATAGTCAAGAAATATATTTATATATTTATTAGTGTTAATTCAGACAGGTTTATTTCGAGACATTTCTGTTTCTGTTCCTTTGTAGGCTAAATGGCATTTGAGGTGTTTTTGCTCACCTGTCATGCTTTATCACAGAAACATAATCCCTTATACCCCAAAGCATTTCCTCACTGAACCTGTTTAAAGTCGCTCTCTCTAGGCTTGTTTCTTTATTTTTCTTCTTATTTACTTACTTTCTCTGTCTAACTGATAGCCATCTCTGATCTTACCATGACATCTGTTCGGGCAAATCTATATTTGTTTAAAAAAAAATGTTTAAAAACAGTTTATAGTACTGTATAGTTTAAAGGTGTGATCTGTAATTTTTCAAAATGGTACTAGATCTGTACTAATCGTCTAATTTTAAAGATTGCTCAGAGAAACTCTGATTAAATATCATTGGATGAGAAGTGCCTTGCGAAGTGTCATGACCTCTGTTATACACATGTTTTGTGTCTAGATGAGTAGCTGTCTTCGTCTGGATAAACAAGCTAAACACTGACGCACACCTGGGAAAGCGTGCCATCATGCATCCGTTTGGCCGTGAGGACGAGAGCTCCGTGCAGGACCTGTTTGTCTTTTTCACCCAGTGTTTACGGCATGGCGAGTGGGAACTGGCCGCCGCCTGCGTCCGACAGCTCAGTCAGGCTGCCGGAGACGTGCCGCAGCGTCCCGATGACATCATCGCCGCACTTATCACACAACCGTATCAACTTGCGTGAGTAGTGTCTCCGTACATTCTGACAGCTGTAATGAAACCCTGGTCTCTGTTAACTTTCAGTTTCACATGCATTAGCATTCAGGCATTCTAGCTTAGGTAGTATGTGCGTGACTTTGGACTTGACCTTCACCGTGTGGTTTTGTAGGTGGGAGACAGTGGGAAGTCCTCACAGACTCGCTTGGTTCTGGCTGCAGGTGCTGGAGAAACACTCAAAAGACAAGGTGAAATACACTTAAAAAAGAAAAGGTCTCAGATGAGTTTCTGGACATCGGATAATCCGTATCATGTCTCCCTCCTGTCCTGCAGGTGTCTCTCTCAGTCCGGAGAGAGCTGGCCTTCCTGCTGGTTTTGGAGGAGCTCGGAGAGGAAGTGCCTCATTCTGTACTAAAGGTAAACCTCCTACTTCCCATAACACTCATCATAACTGTAACAGACATCCATTCTTTACGAATAGATGCTACATATTCCCCTAAATTCTACAGCTGGAATCTACAGCACTTGTTTATGTTGGATAGATAGTTTGTTAAATGAAAAAGGGGAACTGTTGCCTCTTAGACCACCCAGCTTACTTTGCTCGACTGACAGGTACAGACGCCACACCTCCATTACTAGGAGTGACACACTAAGGACACGCCTCCTTCAGTCAGAATGACATGCACAGAGGCCACGCCTCCATCTCCAGAACTGATAGGCACAGAGATCATGTCTCTTTTGCTGAGCATGACAGGCTTATAAGCCACACCTCCTTCATTTAGCATGACAGGCATAGAAACCACACCTCGTTCCCTGAAACCTAGGATTAATTCCACTGTAGCTTTTAACATTTTTTATTTTCTCTCTCCTTTAGGAGCTGCATCAGGCCTTCCTGGAGTCCGAGCGTGTCGAGCAGAAGGACTCGCCCTCCGTTCCTCCTCTGAGTGACGTTGCTCTCGCCTCCATCCGCTCCCTCCTCTCTGAGCGCAGCCCGCGTCTGACCCACGCCCTGCTCCGCTTCCTGAAACACACAAACGCATCCACCGCCTTTCTCCAGCATCTCCTGGACCTCGTGGAGCAGAAGGAGGGCAAGAGGAGTGAGGGATGGGCCGAGGAGGTGTGCGGCGCTCTGGCTCTTGCTCCGTGTGCAGCGGCGGAGCTGGAGCAACTGTGGGCGGGGCTATGGAGGGCAAGGGAGGGGCCTCTAAGTGAGGAGAGGGTGATGGGATGCCTGCTCCGACCTCAGAGTCACACTCTGCTGATGGGCTACTGTGCCACAGCTCTGCGGCTTAGCAGGGACAGGCTGCTCCAAGACGCAACACACACACAGGGTGAGAGGGACAGGGGCTCTCCAACACACATCTCCACACACACACACACACACACACACACGCACACACACACGTGCTTGCGTGCAGTGCTGGCTCGATTAGGCAGGACACAATTGATGCTTCCCTCTTCAGTTTTTTTAGTTCTTTAATTTGTCTCGCTTTTGGGGAAGTGAGAGTCTATGGTCATTTTGTTATATTATCTCTACATACACACACACACACACACACACGCACACACACACACATACATACACACACTCCTGAGGTCACGTGTGGCCATTACACATGATCGACATCTTTGTGCTAGTGTCTCAAAACATGCACTTGACAACGCAATGGGCTGATGTAATATTTAATACTGTGTGTGTGTGTGTTTGTGTGTGTGTGTGTGTTTGTGTGTGTCAGTGGACTTACCTGAAGCAGAGAGGCTCATGCTTGGCCTGTGTTGTCATGGTGACCGGCATGCAGCTTGGAAAGCCATCTACTTTGAGTGTTTGAGCAGTGGAAAGCACTTTTTGGAGCAAGTTCTGGTAAGAGTCCTTACCGCTTGTCCACTCATCCATTCTTCCTCGTCCACTCATCCATTCTCCCTCATCCACTCGTCCACTCTCCCTCGTCCGCTCGTCCACTCTCCCTCATCCACTCATCCACTCTCCCTCGTCCACTCATCCACTCTCCCTCATCCGCTTGTCTACTCGTCCGCTCTCCCTCGTACACTCGTCTACTCGTCCACTCTCCCTCGTACACTCGTCTACTCGTCCACTCTCCCTCGTACACTCGTCTACTCGTCCACTCTCCCTCGTACACTCGCCGATTCTCCCTCTTCCACTTGTCCCCTCTCCCTCATCTTCTCTCCCTCATCCACTCTCCCTTGTCCCATTATCCACTCACCCCTTCTCTCTTCTCACTCGTCCCCTCTCCCTTTTGAGTGTTTTGCTAACCCTTTTGAGTGTTTGTCTAACATTCTGTAAATTGGGAAGTTTTATAAATAAAAATGAAATTAAGTGTTAATTATATTCACGTTTTACCCCATTTTGACATTTTTTTTATTATTAAGTCACCCGTCTGTCTTCTTTTCTGGTTTTGCTGGTAGGTCACGGGGCTTGACCTCATAAAGAAGGAGGAGTTTTCTAAACTGGAAGCGTTGCTTGGGGCGGAGTTTCAGCCGCTGTCCCGCCTCCTTCTTTTGCTGGGATGGAAATACTGCCAGAGCCTTGACTCCGCCCAGGGGCTCCTCAGGATTCTGCACCAACAACAGGTCAGGAAATAAACACCTTAAAATGGTGGAAAACCTGAATGCAGACGCTGATACTATAAAGCAATTAACCTCCTCTGATGCTGTGTCATGTATTGAAATGCTGAACCAGACCTGCGTGTGAGACTTTTGTCTGCACTATAAAGTCAAATTTTTCTGCTTTTAACATTCTGCCTTCAACAGGATTTAGTAAATTTGTGCCGCACTTTGGAATTGTGAGATTAATTCAATGAGGGCATGGAAAACAGGAAGCAGATAACATGCTTTATCTTTTTTAAGGAAATGTGGTGAAATACTACAATCAATATTTTTAGAAATTTCTGTACTCATGATTGTAGCCTGTGTAAATTTAAGGTGGACTGCCAAAAATGTACATTTATTTACATTTATATGTTTAGCAGACGCTTTTATCCAAAGTGACTTACAGTTGAGCGAGTAGTTGAGGGCTCACTCTAGGACCCAAGAGTGACAGCTTGGTGGTGTTGGGATGGGATTTAAACTCATAGCTTGGATCAGTAGCCCAGAACTCTAACCACTGAGCCACTACTGCAGATGTTCCACCTTAAATATTTTACCTGGGTTTAAATGAAATCTGTCTGTCTGGAAAAAACCTGAGCATGTATCTAGTATAGTGTTTTTGTCACTTTGCCCACTGTATATACTCGTGTGTGTGTGTGTGTGTGTGTGTGTGTAGGCCAAAGACACCGTCCTCAGCGAATTTGCAAATGTCCTCTCCTCTCGGTTAAGGGTGTTGGAATGGTGTGCCAAAAACAACCTGTGAGTAACACACACACAAACATGCACCTTAAACTCTTAGTGTTTTGACTGATTGATCTGAAATTGAATTTCAGGCTTGGAGATACAACATTAAAGTTCAACAAAAAAAAAAAAATAATGAAATGAAGTAAACATGTATTACATTTCTAAACAGCATTAATTCGCCAAATTCAATCACTTAACCACAACGTGTGTGGGCGACTCGTAGGAAACTTAATCAAGCACAGAATGTAGGGGAGATTCCCAATCAAAATAACATTCAAATTCAGATTTCTATATATTTTCTATATAAAAATGTCTAAAACTGTATTTGAGCAAAGATTTACATGTGTGAACAGCGAGATCTCCCATGAGGCCTTGCTGTCTCAGCTGCACAATCTGGATCATCACTCTGCTCTCTATGTGCTGCACTCACTCATTCCTCTGGCCAAGTATGAAGAGCACAGAGTGCTGGAGCTGCTGCAGGCCGCAGGTAACACACACACACACACACACACACACACACACACACACACACACACACACACACACACACACACACATGCATGCATACATGCCCACTACTGGTATGACAGAAAGCTGCGCTATGCAAATATAAATTTGTAATCATTGTAATTGCTGTGGTATAACGAGAATAAAACACTCGGTGTCATGCTGTTATAGGAAAATAATCAACTTTGGGGTTGGAAAAAAAACCCCATAAAAACACAGCTAGTCTTGTAAACTCATCTGTCCTGAAGATGCTGGAAAACTTAAAGTTACAGCTTTCCCTCTAACTGTTACAAAGCACTTCTTCCATAAATGCTTAATAAGCATGTCCTAGCAAAATATCGATCAGTAAACACGTTTTCAATGCGTTTACTGTTGAAATCATGTCTCACTACTGTTTTGCTGTTATAGAAAATTAATTAACACCTTCTTTCCAATCAGAATCCAGAATTCAAGAGTGCACAGGAACACCTGACTCTGATTTCTACTTTATACTGTTTTTAAGGAGACTCTTTGTCTGGAGACACTCAGAGCAGCTGCGTCCAGCGCAACATCACCATGTTCAGAGGTTTCTGTGCCATGAAATACGCTGTCTATGCTGTGTGTGTGAACACGCGTGTCGGCTTCTCGGACTTCGGTTCGGCGCAGGTGCCGCAGAAGGATCAGGCTGAAGGTGTGTACTTAAATAGTGATAAGTGAAGAATATGCAAATTTAATAGAAAGATGTCTTGGGTAGGGTTTGTGAAGATATGAGAGATGGACAATGAAACACTACTGAACTTTGTAGAATGTACTAAAAATGAATCTACCGTATTTTCTGGAGTATAAGACACACTTTGTGTGCGAATTTTATTACCAACTTATAATTTTTGCAGATATAATGTGCGCATTTTGTAGCATATTTACGGTAGCAGTTACAGTAATGTTACACTGTACGTCCCCTAGACACACTAGCAGGAATTTGCTTTACCGTGGCGAGACTTATAGATGGGATGATGACTTCTCCCACCAGGTCCCTCGTCCCTGTTTCAGCATTACCTCTCGGAGTGTCAGCTCTACTTGGAAGCAGTTCCTACAATGTTTCGCCTGGAGCTCCTGGAGAACATCTTTTCGCTACTTTTCTTGTCCTACTCTGACTTTGCTGAGCCGAATCATTCCAACCTGGAGATGAAACGGAGCAGCAGCATTGAAGAGAAGCGCAAAGAAGAGAACGGCGAAAGCGAAGCGCGAGAAGAGAAGGGCGAGTGTTCTGCGAGTGTTAAGTCTGGTCAGATGACGTCGGGCTGCCGTGGCTTCCTGCTGGACACCGGTGCGATGGAGGGAGTCCTGCGGCTCATCAGGGAGGGACTGGAGGGAATGTGTGCCCTCGGGAGGGCACTGGAGGCCGAGGCGGAGCTGGCTGAGAGTCTGGGCTGCTCGGTTACAGTGGAGACCTTCAGCTCTCGGTTACAGAGGCTCTCTAAACACACGGCCGAAGCTCAGTGGAGGCTGCAGATCGTCACCACCAATCAGGGGAGCGTAAGCGGTGAGTCATGTAAAGTTATTTAGATTTCGGATATTGCAGGTAATACATGCATTATGGTCTTCTCCTGTTTATTGTAGAGGTTTTAATATTATTAATGTTATTGTATTTATACAGTATGAGGGTTGTCCAGAAGTCAAAATGATGCTCAATTCCATACATGAACAGCAAGCTGATGCAATTTAAATCAGCTAAGAGCAAATATAATATTGTTGTAATAAAATGTAATTCCCAAAAAGGCCACTGATACTGAGGCCATAAGACTGAAAAGCACGTAGGCCACGCCTCCTTTGATAAGACTGAAAACCACGTAGGGCACGCTTCCTTTGATAAGACTGAAAACCACGTAGGCCACGCCTCCTTCAGTATGACTGAGATGCGCAAGGTACATGCCTCCTTTACTACAACTGACAAGTTGACAAGACTTATGTTGTGCCCTATGTAGTGCGGTGATATGCCCAAATATAGTGAACAGAAAACCATTTAGGATTAGGCCTCACTTACATTATGGGTGAGAAATTCAATTGGTGTTAAATATGTGTGTGTGTGTGTGTAGGTGGTCCGGCTCTGCCCTCCTCAGGCATGAACTCGGCTCTCTCTCTGAGGCGTAGCAGCAGCAGCAGCAGCGGTGTTTCTGGTGTCAGGAAGAAGAAGCGTTCCCATCGCCATCGCCCTGAGCGACGCATGACCTCCGAGCGACAGAGCGGAGAGATCAGCACCAGCGCTTCAGGTTGGAGTCACAGACACATGATTCTTAAGCTTGACACCTAAATAACAGCGTGTCGTAATCCTCCCTCTTTACTGTAACCCAGTATTGTTCAAGTTTGTAACGGTAGTTTGTTTTTGTATGTTTAATTTTTTTACATGACTAGTTTGTGTTTTTCTCTTTTCAGTTAGTGTCTAGTTATTTAAAAAAATGAGTAAAACATGTTTAAGGTATCATTTAATGGACTGCATGTAAAAAGTAAGCACTTTAATTGTGGGCCTGTGGAGTAATTGGATGTATAGGATATAAAGATTTTTTTAAAGTAATTGTTTTTGGAAAACTTTTTTCAGATTTCTATTCTGATTCATATAATAGCAGTTAAAAATGCTGAGTTTATCTCAGTGTGTTTTCTGTGTTTTCCAGATGGCAGTGGTGGCACCGTGCCAGTGTGTGTGGAGAATGAAGTGTGTGTGTGTGGAGGACCTCACAGCTGGCTCGTTCCCTCAATGCTCTCCCCACCTGAGTCTCTCCTGATCTCCTGCATACGCAGAGGAAACTACGTGGAGGCTCATCAGGTGACCTACACACTATTCTCTGCACAGCAACACTATGTAGAAGACTGGTACAGGAAGTAAACTGTTTTGTGCAGTACCTAGATTGTGTGTGTGTGTGTGTGTGTGTGTGTGTGTGTGTGTGTGTGTGTGTGTGTGTGTGTGTGTGTGGGTTTTTGTAGGTGATGCTGATGTTCGGGTTGGAGAACGCACCATGCTGTGGGGAGCTTCTCTTCATGGAACGGTACCATGAGGTTCTGTCCGAACTCGCTCAAGTTGAGCAGAAGATCGAGAGCCAGTCCCTTTCTTCGTTATCATCCTCCACAGAGAGTCTGGGGTCAGTCGGGGTGACGGGACCGGGACGGAGCCGCCTGGGCAGCAGCAGCAGATCCACTCTGCAGAGCATCGGCAATGCAGCTGCAGCAGGTGTACATGCACTGTAATAATATGGCTCAGACTCGGAATCGGACGTTTGGTGTATGATTTGACCCTTCATGCCTCTGACATGCTTGCTCTGCTCTCTCCGTCAGGCATGGCGTTCTACTCCATCTCCGACGTGGCTGATCGCCTCCTGAGCTCTCCCTCTCGCCCTCTGGCCTGTCTGGAGGAGAACTACTGGCTCTCTCACCCTCTCTCTGACCCCTCAGACCCCCTGCGCCCCCTGCTGGTGGAGCTGAGTCCGGCTGGCATGGCCGCTTTTGACCTGGCCTGCTGTCAGTGCCAGCTGTGGAAGAGCTCACGGCAGCTTCTCGAGACGGCTGAGCGGAGACTGCACACCTCGCTGGAGAGTCGAGGTGAGTGTGTGTGTTTTTTGTGTGTGTGTTTGAGTGTGAGGTACCAAGGAAGGGAAAAAGTGTTAGCTCTGAAAAGTGGGAGGCCACAGAGGCCACGCCTCCTTTACTGAAACTGAAAGGCTCATTACTGAGAGGCACAGAGGCCACACCTCCTTTACTGAGAGGCACAGAGGCCACACCTCCTTTACTGAGAGGCACAGAGGCCACACCTCCTTTACTGAGAGGCACAGGGGCCACACCTCCTTTACTGAGAGGCACAGGGGCCACACCTCCTTTACTGAGAGGCACAGGGGCCACACCTCCTTTACTGTGACTGACTGTTACAGAGGCCACACCTCCTTTACTGTGACTGACTGTTACAGAGGCCACACCTCCTTTACTGTGACTGACTGTTACAGAGGCCACACCTCCTTTACTGTGACTGACTGTTACAGAGGCCACACCTCCTTTACTGTGACTGACTGTTACAGAGGCCACACCTCCTTTACTAAGACTCAGAGGCACAAAAGCCACACCTCCTGCATGCCTCCTTCAAGCTGTAGACTTGTATATTATCTCTGGTTTCACCTGCAGACATCACGTTGGACAGAGACGTTCATCATTCTGAAGGTATTCGGGGTTTTCCTTCTGTACTGCAGCAGATCATTAAAATACTCAACAGAACATCTACCAGCAAAGGGCCACCCAAATCAGGTACACAAGTAACAA